CTTGCGGTTTTTAACAAGAAGTCAAAAATATCACTTTTTACCAAAAATTACAAAAATATTCACCAAAATTAGAGAATTAAAGATATCATTACAAAATGAACAAATCTGAGAGAGGTCCGTCCACATGTAGTACCTATATATATAATATCAAAGCAATTGGACTTGCGTTTTTTAACAAGAAGTTGAAAATATCACTTTTTACCAAAAATGACAAAAATATTCACCAAAATTAGAGAATTGAAGATATCATCACAAAATGAACAAATCTGAGAGAGTTCCACATGTAGTACCTATATATGTAATATCAAAGCAATTGGACTTGCGGTTTTTAACAAGAAGTTGAAAATATCACTTTTTACCAAAAATTACAAAAATATTCACCAAAATTAGAGAATTAAAGAAATCATTACAAAATGAACAAATCTGAGAGAGGTCCACATGTAGTACCTATATATATATACGGTAATATCAAAGCAATTGGACTTGCGTTTTTTAACAAGAAGTTGAAAATATCACTTTTTACCAAAAATGATAAAAATGACATGCTCCTAACGGGTAGTTATGAAATCTAAGTTACATCGTTTTGTTTATAGTAATATAGCATGAGTACATTTTGAGAGATATTTCTCTGGAACATCATTAACATGTTTTAAAATCATTAAAACAAAATGGTCTGACATTTTTAATAGGATTGTCAAACCAATACATCTGTATAATTATGACATGATGTATATGAATATATAAAATTTGAACATCAGTCAAATGTCAGAGATATGGTACTAGACCCACATTCACTAACACAAAATGGCAACCAGTCAGCCATTTTGAATCTCATTTGAGAAACAAAATGACGTGCATCAAGGTCCTATAATATCCAATGTATGTACCAAGGATGGCCAGAAATGCTGGATTTTGATGATTTTTAAGCACAATCAAAGAAAGCTTAGAAAGAACTCCCATGTGCTGAGAGTATTGGAGACACATTAAATATAATTTGAAATTACTTAGCTGAAAACTAATTATGCAAATCAGAAAATTAATATGACCAGATTTGAGTGTAAAACTAATGAGGTCTGCGCAATGTAACAGAAAATCTATGTCTCCAAGTTTAATTGAAATGTGATTAGAACCAAAAAACCAAAAAATTATGAATTATTATGCTTATTAGGGAATTAATATGAACAGATTTTTACCCCAAACTAATTAGGTTT